GATGCGAATATCTAACAGCTAACATCCGCGGATGCGGATGTTAAGTATTTTTAAGAAACAATTAGAATCTAGCATAATGGCGAGATCGTTGTTTAAACAATACTTACAAGCCAAACCAGATGTGTCAGGTTTCTCTAAAGCTTTTAAAAAAGAATTCTTCACTCTCATTCCTTTGGCTGTTTCAGAATTTGGGGAATCTGTAACTTCGTGAGCGTTTTTCGATTTTAGATTTTGTAATTCATTTTTAATGCATTCTTCTGCGACTGGTTTGAAAAATTTGTGCTTATAGCGAGCTTAATATGTGGATATGGGAAATAAATTATTATTTTTGAAAGTCGTGGCTGCCAGCCGAATCGGATCAGAATATTGTTACTTTTTTAAAAAAGCACCCCGTTTTTTATAAGCATTTGAATCTCAAATAGTCACGTAATTCTTATCTAATTAAAGGTCAGACCTATAGCTTTTTAATTATTTGAGCATCGATTCTCTTTATAGCCAGACGTTGATGATTTTTCCTGGAAATCCCTATTGAAGAGCTTACTCTTTGACTTTAAATGGCAAATATGGGACAGTTTTACCACAGAAGTTTTTAGCCAACGATCCAATGTATATCCCTATGAAAAAAATATTGCCCGACAAGAAAAACAAAATTACGGTTTTTAATATTTTTTCTAAAAAAAAATTCCCGAAGAGCCCCATTTGAAATTATTGAAACGAATATAAGTAACATCAATAGCAATTTGGTTAAGAATTACAGTGCACACTTTCTCCTTTTGTGTCTAGTAGTTTTCTTTTAAGATTGGTCCAAAAAAATCATAATAAAAAAAAGAGACCAATGCAGGTATTTAAAGCACAGAAAAATAAAGTAAAATGGACTAAGTTCTCTTTGACGTACGTCAAAGGTCGAGTAGAAGTGGGAACTTGTATGAGTGCCCATTGATAGCTCGGTTATATAGCTTAAGAAATAATATGCTTAAAGACATTTTTTTTAAGTTGATAAATATGACATTTGTCCAGTTTGTTACACAACTACTGCCATGACCACAGGCAAAAATACTGGCTACAATTTGTCTTTTTGTTTGCCATATTACGTTTTATCGGTACACTTGCACAATATTCGCATTCGCCAAAGCTCCGCATTGATTATTGCGAATGCGAATGCGAATGTTAAAATTAATGCGGAAGCTCCGCGGTTGCGAATGCGAATATTCGCAACAACCCTGGTTGGAACATTACTGACAGTGCGGGCATAGTAAATAGAGGAATTGAAATACATATAGTATATTTACATATCGTCGCCTGGGTAAAAAAAAAGCTGAGATGCCACGATTGCCGCGAATGGACCAATCTGGAACAATTTTTATTGTGCTGTACTGGAACACAATAAAAAAATTGTCCCAATGAAATTCTGTACAGTCACACGGTTGCCTCTTTTTATACAATTCTCATTGCCGTAAGTTGGCGAAAAGCAATATAGTGACAATAATTGCCCCAAACTTATCACACGATTGTTCGAGCATGCGGCAATTGTGACCATAAAGTGTTGCGCTGACCTCTAAATTCTGTTTTTTTCTCTGTTGTGTAAAAATGGCGTATTCTTAATAAAAAAAAATAAATCAATTGCATCTGCTTTGTATATTGCGGGCTCATTTTGTGCAAATTTGTTGTTGTTTGAAAGCAAAGAAGCAAAAACCAATGAAAAGAAGCAAGTCCAATGAAAACTGACGCATGTATTTCGAAGTTTGAGTGTAGTTTTTTTTTTATTTTTCGACGATAACTGCAACGTGCTATGTGGAGTTCAAGCTGCAACAGTTTTCTTTTTAATTTTGTTACGTAGAGGTTTTCTTATTCATTACAAGTAAAATTGGTACAAAAGAGTTATGTTTGTTTAAATGAAAGCTGCGAATTTACATAACTTATATTTGGAATAAAATTTTTTAATTATATGTACAGCTCGCAACAAAAGATAGCACCTTAACATTTTGATCAGTCTTGACTTTTTTCTTCTGTTGTTTAATGTTAATTTTTTCCTATAAAACCATAGTTCATTGTCTAGTAAAAACCACATAAGTCCAAATTCCATACTTTATACAAAAATTATAAACATTTCTTAAAATTTTGATCACAATTCAATGGTTTTTAATTTGGGTTTCTAGAAAAAATTTTGTTTTGCAGTCTACAAAGTAATTTACAGAGAAGAAAGTGCATAATACCGTCAGCTAAAAAAATTATAAAAAATCAACAGGATCTTTTAGCAACTTCAAACCTCCACCTTATTGTACTAAATTTTAATGAGCTACAAAACTAAATAACCATTTTTTTCTAGAAATCCAAATTATAAACCGTGGGATTGTGTTCAAAAGTTTAAGAAATTTTTATAATTTTTGTATAAAGCTTGCAATTTGGATTTATGCAGTTTTTGTTAGACAATGAGCTATACTTTTATACGAAAATAATGAAGATTAAATAAGTAGAATAAAAATAGTCAAGACTGGTCAAAATGTTGAGGCTCTACTGCTTTGTCGTGGGCTGTATTGAACTTTTAAGTTTTTTTTTTTAATAAATTTATACTGTCATGGCAGTCCGCCATTTGGTGACATAAAATACTTTTCGTATTCTTCTCGTATGAGTTTTGCTTGTGGTGGTATATATCGCGGCAAAGATTCCGTTATCGGACTTCCAGAAAAATTATAATTTCACTACAAATTAAATTAAAAGTTATGTTGCTTCTGAAAACAAGGATATTAATTTCAGTGATTTTTGGACACATAAGGAAGCAAAAAAGTAAATTATTAATAAACAGCCTAAATATTGATGTGTATTGTTCACTTCAATTGCCGCACAAGAATACAATAAATATTGCCGCAATTTTGAAATTTTCATTGCCCCATGATTGCCAATCGAGCTATCACACGATTGCCGCACACGGGCCGTATTTGATTGGGCACAGTAAGCACAATATCGGCCTCTATTGCCGCATGAGTCAATGTATTGTGAAATCACACGATTGGGGCATAAAAATAGGCAATAATTGGTGTATTGCGGCAATCGTGGGATCCCAGCTTTACGATTGGCCCAATGGATGTAATTTGCCAGTATTATTATGCATTAAAGCTTCATTCGGAGACACCGGGGTTGAGTTTTGCAGGGTTAAATCTCAAATCACCATCGATAAATCAACCGCCAATTCGCGCCCTTTACTGTAATAAATTAAAGTAACAAAAATAAGTTTTCATTTAAATTGCTTTCGTGAAACTTGCTTTTAAGGTATTTTGTCTGAAATAAGTCTACGTACATATATTGGATTTCTTTAAAATAATTATACGCATCCATTTTGAAATTGCCACCAACTATACTATAAAGTTTCTGGGACGGATTCACTATAGAACCGGAAAGAGAAGAAGAAATGTTCTTCAAATTTATTTCGTTTTGCGATTAACCGTTCTATGAAATGCTGCACAGTTGGAAAATTTCAAGGCGGCAAACGACCACCAAACCATAATCTTAGCAGATGAATGTGCCAATAAAAATCGTAAACGTGAATTGTTGGTGAAAGTGTTGAACCAAAATGTTTCAATGAAAAAATTAGTTTTGGACAAACCGAAGATTTCCGGGTCTGCTAGTATTATAATATTTCATTTACTTCATTTCTTGACATCTATTTTTTAATATAATTTTCAAATAAATAACTCCCTTAATTGAAATTGAATTTGATTTTTTTTAAAGGTGGCAGCCCTCATTCATGAGTAGATAATGATTTTATATATCTCCATACCAAGTTCCACTTATCTACCAAAAATATTTCCTGAGAAATGCAGTATGAAAAATTCCGTCT